GGTGATTGAAAGTTGAGTCCATTAATAATAACAATGATGGATGATCGTTAGACCTCTAAATGATCACGTTTACATCTTCCCTTCATTTCTATCACCTGTAACTGAACGGTAAGTTAACAGGATCTATAATATTTTATCGGGCAGCCTGTTCTGCATATCTATCCCTATCTCAAGCACTCCAGGACGCTAGCCCGAGTGAAGATCACTATATAAATGCAAGTTGTTATTGTTATGTAAGATTTTTTTTCTAGCCTCTATAACTCCAGGTTTGTGAAGTTTGTGTTTCTTATGCTTTTAGTCTCACTAACCAAGTTACGTAGCCAGATTACAGCCATTTTCTCTACACCTTTCATTACCAAATATCTTTCCTCCATATTTTTTACCCCAGCAAACAAAAATGTGCTTATTCTCCTTAGGGTTCCCTCATAACTTTTCTCATAGGGCCTGTGGTTTATACCTGTTCCAATACTGTTACCAAGAGTCTGTCTTCCCCTTGAAATCGGTTTCCATGTGGCTCAGAAGTTTCAAATCTAATCTGTATTTGTGTTAAAAGATTTTTCATATCTAATTTCTTCTCATTTTCAGTTTGCGTTTTCTTTGTCTTTCTGCCAAAATATTTCCTTAGATAACATGGAATGTGGCTGTGTTCTCAAAGGTGTGTACTTTTTTCCACTGTTAAACAGATGTTGCATTCCACATTGGCATGACAAAGTCCTTGTTAACAAACGATAACGAGGTATAAACCAGCTCAGTTGGAGGAGTCATCCCTTGGATGAGATATTAAACCAGTTAAAACTGCTCTGGAATTTCCATGCGTAGGTTGGGATGCATGGAAATCTCAGTTTGGTTCGGATACTCTTAAGCACGGTGATGGGTTTCCGCATGTATCAGACACACCGGCCGACCAAAACAAATCCCAGAAAATCGATATTTCCCTTCATTGCTGTTTGTGGGACATTGCTGTGGACTGATTGGATACCCCATTCATCTACAAATACACAGTCACTGCACTTTACAGTGAAATCTTGTAAAGCGTTTTGAGACATCTCGATGACGTGACAAGGTGCTCTATCAAACGCAAGGATTATTATTATTGTAAGATCCTACAGACAAAATGGTGATTTTAGTTCTTACAGAGACAAACAATCCAAATTGTTGCTAAAGGCAACAACTGTTTGTGACAGATATTGCTTAATGCAGTTCCAGTCACAATCTTTAGGGCGAATTGTTGTCAAAGTTTTCATCTTGCTAGCGTTGTGTACCAATAACATCAGTATGCGATTGCTGGAAGATAATACATTAATAAAAAAATCAATTCAAGTTTTTGACTCTCTTGCGCCTGTGGCATAAGATGATTTGTCGAGACAATCAGCATAAATTCCATATTTTATGTCTTATGGTTGAGAATTCCCGCACACATACACACCCAAAAATATAATTGAGGCATACAACTTCTTTAAGGATGAATTACTTTATGTATTTTGCAAAAAGGTCCCAAAAATTATAAATACCTCAATCTGAGATCAAGTCAGATGCTCAAAACTTCTTTGTGAAGCGGAGCAAATTCTTACGCCTTTGGCTTGCCTTATCAGCAGGGCTGAGGTATTGTCATGAGTTCTGGGAGACGGGTTTCTTCTTAAGGAAGCAAGGCCTTGAAAGAAGATGATACAATACAGTAGTAGTAATAATAATAATCCTTAAATTTGACCTAGTGCCTTGGGACGTCCTCCCAATGTGAAAGGCGCTATACAATGTAATTTGGCTGTCGTTGTTATCACTTTGTTGAAATGTCTCAAAGACCTTCACAGGATACAGTGGACATGCTGTGTATTTTGTGGGCAAGAAACAACTGAATTTACCTGTTATTATAAACATATTACACATTGAATACACATTATTTTTGGAAATTTCTTTGATTTCTTTCCAGATTTAATGCCCTCGATGTTTTCAGAAAAGACTTAGTCAGTTTTTTTTTGGTCACTGGGGAAACAAATGCTACCAGTTACATTCAACATGTTTTTTTTATATAATATTTACTCTATTACAAAGTATATTACAATATAACATATTTTAATATGTATTATAAAAGGTAGTATATAATTCGTTAACTAATCCTTCAGAAATACGTAAGCTCGCCCACAAAATGCACAGGCAATTCACTTTACAGTACATTCCGTGAAGCGCTTTGAGACGTCTCAAAAGAGGCGCTATATCAAAGGCCAGGAATATTATTGTCTTCCACCCGGTGTCAAGACAGCGCAGAGTAAAGGCGAGGTCCGGGGCACAGAAACCTGGAACTTCCAGTAAATCGATTGCAAGACTTCACAGTTGGAAGTTTTGCGAAATTCAGAAACCCAGTGGGCGGTTGGAATAAACGTGTTCAGGTCAAATGGGGCACCAACAAATCCGTCCCCAAAACGTACGTGGTCAAACAGAAACCGCCTTCAGTGAGAGAGAGTGAGAGAGAGAGAGAGAGAGTTAGTATTATATTCAAGCTGTTCTCCTTTTGCCACGATGGGACTGAGGTCCAACACAATCCCCGATCCATAACCCGTACACATCAACACCACTGCACTGTGGTGCCTTCAGCTCCGCTCTCGACTCTCTACCCCCTCCTCGCTCCCTCCCTTCCCTCCCCGCACCCTGACCGTTTCCCCCCCAATGCTCGGGTCCCGACCCAACTGTCCAGCGCCTCGGGACGTCCTCCCGACCGTGAAAGGCGCTCGATAAATGGAATCTTGTTGTTGTTGTTGTTGTTGTTGTATCTCTGCCCACACTGAACTGACCGACTTTATACTGATGAACACATAAGGGAAGGTCGGGGTCTTTGTGGAGGGATCAGACAGTCCAGTCCTGGTGGGGGGTGTGTGTGTGTGGGGGGGGGGGGGGTGGGGGGATGGGGGGGGGGATGGAGAGAGAGAGAGAGAAAGGAAAATAAGTTCTGTGTGAAGAAGATGTGTGAGTCCCTCTCCCTCTCCGGATTCAGTTCCAAATGAGCGGCCAAACATCTCACCATCTTCATTGCGAGTGCAATTAGCGAAGGGAACGGTACCAACGGAGCAGCGGCGGCGCCACGACACTGAGCAGCGGATCAGAGCATCAGCGTTGCCTCCACTGATCTGTACCAGAGATCAGGGGAGACACCGAGAGGGGGGG